TGTAGATATTCCAATGCACCATTGTTGCTACTTTGTCATGCCATTGTTTGTAGTCAGTTTGTTTGTTCATTCATTTATTTCCTACCTTTTCCCTGGAGTTCAAAGGCAGCTTTCATAGATTTTCATTCAATTTATGCTCAGAGCCACAACCCATAACATAGGCTGGATTGAGAGACAGTGACTCACTCAAAGACACCCAGGTTGAGGGTAGACTTGAACCTGGGTCTCCCCATCGTATTCCAGCACTTTAACTATTAGAACACATTGTCTGTCTATTCTGAAGAACAGTATCTCTTCCATGTCTTGAGTAGAAGAGACTAGGAGTTGAATCAGGATCCAGCCCTGTGCTATAACATTAAACTATTGGTTATTTCAATATATTTCCCAAACATACAAAGCAAGAATCTTTAATGGAGATGCTGGGAGCTGAGTCATAGACTTTGTGCATGGAAATCACTGGTCCTTATGGAGGCAAAGTGGACTTAAGGAGCAATAAACTAAACCACTCAAGAAACAACATTTGGATATTTATTCAGTCCTGGCTTACGTTAAGTCAATAAATTCTCTAACAATTGCACCAGCTTAGACAGTATCAAGGAACTTCACCTTAACCATCTCGTGAAAAGAGCACGTGAGGGTGATGCCGTTATCTCAAGGTTATTCAAGTACATATTTACTTATCCCCATTCAAACACAGGAAAGATTTCACACAGGTTGACAACAAAGATTGTGGAAGAGAGGGAGATCAATTGAATCTATCAAGAGGGATTTTAAGCTGCAGTCCTAGGTAGATGCCTGAATGTAAGTTTCCATTAAACTCTGTATGGCTTACCTTGCAGTAGACATGGAAAGAAATTAACTGCATGTTTGCCAATATGTATTCCCACTTCTGATGCAGGTTGAGTAAAACACTGCTTGAATGAGAAATTAGCATTGCAACTAACACCGTTCCAATGTCATGCAGCTTTCCAAATTTGGATGCTTCTCCTGACATTTAAATGCAAACACTAATCATGGTCTTTTTATATTCCCATCAGAATCAAGTGTAATATGAGACCTGGAGTTTCTCTTTGAATCTCTTACATGCCAGCTTCAAAACATGGCAATACAATGCTTAATTTCCCCCTTCCCCTTGGAGGGGGGAATCAACATTTCCCTCAAAAAAAAAAAAAAAAATCACAGCATTGCACAGTCTTATGTCCACCCACTGTGCTCCTCTACCTCTCTCCCCCAAGTTTTAAGTGCTACCTTCTTTGGCTAAAAGCCTGCCTGTGCCTAAACTCACTGCACCTCCATCTTTAATGCTATTAAAACAGCTACAAAATGGGTTCCTGGTACCAACCTGCTTTTTTTTTTTTTTAACAATAGGCAATAGTAAAAAAGCAGAGATAAATGCTTAATACCTCCTCTGTACTTTGGAGAAGCTCTTTCAGACACTTTTTCAGTAAACAGCAGCCTTACCTTCTGCATATATAACACCCAGCTCTGAAGAGTGAGCAACCTGAGAGGGATAAGAACATTTAAGCTTGGCCTATAGATGCCAGTCTTGAAAAGAAGCCTTTGAAATGTATCTTTGGGGTTTATTGTTCAAAAGGAAGCACCAATAACTCCTTGAATTCAATTTGCCCCTCCCCATCTGTTTTGCAGATATACTACGATTTTCCTCCTGGGAGCAATAGCTTCTTCTTCTTGTGGCATAGGATGAAATGTGTATTAGGCTCTCCTGTCACATATATATCAAGTGGAAAGAGGAAGAGAAATGATCTTTTCTGAAAAATAAAATCAAGTTTACCACAAGAGGAGGAGAAGGAAATGGAAGAATCTATTAATTCTAGTCTTTTCATAGACTATAATTTAACACTACTAATATTCTTCAGTAGATAACTCTGGCATATTCAGTTGCTTTTTAGAAGAGTAGTTTAAAATGGTTTTGTTAAAAGTAGTAATTGTTAATTGCTTTCCTCTTACGTTTAGGGTTGGGGAAGATAATGCTTCAGGTGAGATTGGAGAGGGAGGGGGTCATAGGGTTAGAACCAGTTTGCTATCATTGTCATGTTTTTGGATTAGGAGTTACAAGACCCAGGTTCTAGTGCCCCCTTAGCCATGGATGTTCTCTGGTCCCTCCCTCTCAACCCCACAGCCAGTGTGGTGAAGGTATTACACTAGCAATGGAGAGACCCAGATTCAAGTCCCCAGTCAGCCACAGAAGCTTCATGAGTGATTTTGGCCCAGTCCCTCTCTTTCAGGCCAGGCTATTTCACAAGGAAAAGTAAGAGGAGGAAATGCTAGGTACACCATCTTGAATTCCTGAAAGAATGGTAGGATAGAAGTCTAACAGATAAATGACTGGCAAAATTAACTTTAGTTTCGCTTCAAAGAATTGAGAGCTTTCTGCATGACAAAATACAGTGGTACCTCGGTTTACGAACTTAATTC